CAATTTTTTTCACAAAATTTTATAAATTTAAATTCAATTTATCAACGTATTTTTAACAGATTGTCAATTTTCATGTAAACTAATTGTAGCTTATCCCTGATGATGTTGATAACTATCAACGAAATATTGGATCAATAAAGGACTAAAGAGTACACTTAGCCTATCCGTTCAGCTGTTTTTACTTAAAGAGTCTAACTTGGTTTATATATATATATAAATCCTTAATATATATATATATATATATATATATATATATATATATATATATATATATATATATAAGAGTAAGAAAAAAGAAGTACTTGTGACTCGTTTGGAAAAAATATAACACTGTTTTTGATGGGTTGGAGTCAATAAAAGGGGCTATTTGTTGACTATTTTTTACTCGAGCTTTCAATTGTGATTACAATTTTTATCAAGAGCTTCTAAAAAATACAAAATGTCTTACAAAGTTGAACTAGAAATAAAAAATTTTTTGTTAACTTACCAAATAAAATTAGTTTTTTACATAAAACTACTGCTTACATAATAAATACAAAAAATATTAATAAAAAAATGCCTTATTCTAATAAATTTTATAATTTTATAATTTTATATTTTCAGAGAAACATTTATTAGAATAAGGCATTTTTTTATTAATATTTTTTGTATTTATTATGTAAGCAGTAGTTTTATATAAAAAACTAATTTTATTTGGTAAGTTAACAAAAAATTTTTTATTTCTAGTTCAACTTTGTAAGACATTTTGTATTTTTAGAAGCTCTTGATAAAGATTGTAATCACAATTGAAAGCTCGAGTAAAAAATAGTCAACAAATAGCCCCTTTTATTGACTCCAACCCATCAAAAACAGTGTTATATATATATATATATATATATATATATATATATATATATATATATATATATATATATATATATTTAGGATCACTCAGACGAGTGGTGGGTTTTTTTATCGGTCAAAAGGTGGAGACAAAAGACAAACTTGAAGACTACTTTATCTATTTATTGAAGACGTTTCGCTTTCATATTCAGAAAGCATCAGCAGTTCATCTAAAAAGAACAATATCAAAAAAACACACAAGCATGGAAAAGTTGTTACATGTGTAACCTTAAAAAGATATGTAGCAGTCAAAGATATTAAAAATGTAAAGAAGCTCAAGTAAATGGACATTATACGATAATATTGTATAGGCAATCAATTAAACTAACAACAATTAGCAATTTGTTAAAACTTAGCACATCACAAGAACATAATTAATATTCTTTTCGGTTACCTATGCTCTGGCATTCTTTGTACATGCCCGTACCACTGCAGGGCTCTGTTTTCCAACTTTTTTGTAATTGAGCATTCTACTGGCATTATTTAGTCATTCTTCTGACAATAAAGGAAATGCCACCGTCATCTTTAACACTTTTTCATACATTAATAAACTCTCAAATCTGATTAATACCCCAGACTACAGACCAATTTCTAATAATCCAACAACCTAGCTAGAAAAAACAATAAAAGCCGTTATTAATAAAAGTTTTTTTGGTGTTAACATAAAACAATTTTTAATTCCTCGTGAACAGTCTTCCAGATTACCTCGAATCGTATGGTTTCCCTTAAAATTCACAACCCTGATATTCCTCTACGTCTGATTGTTAGTGTATACACCTGACTCACCAGACCCACCTGAATAGTATACATCCTATTAGTATTCAATTCAAGATGGACGTGAAAACTGATTTATCCCTATCGTTTCTCGACGTTAGTATAAAGAAAAACCAATCCCAGGTTGTCATTACTCTGATTATAAAAAAAAACACATATCTCAATAGTTTCTTACAAGCCCACTACCTTAACATATTCATTATTACTAGACTTCGGCAAATATGCATATTTCATATTTTGCTTATTGTGCATATTTTATGCAAATATTTCATATTTTGGCATATTTGTATAAAAGTTTGCATAAAGTGAATAAAAGTTCAGATTTTTATACTGTATTTGAAGATTTTTAAACGTACCAATTTATTTCAATTCTCGTATAAAATTTTGTAGTCATTTTAATGAAGAAATGATCTAAGTACGTAATCTCTACAGGTACAAAACATTTACAGTTTCAAAGAAGATCAATTTAAGTAGCCCTCAACATTCTTAGAAAGTCTCGGTCACTGAGGCATTCAGTTATTGGCTAATCGCTAAGGGTTCGCTCATTTGCATTTTATGATCTAATCCCCAAATCTATCTACAATTTATTGTATCTTAACAGCAGGTAAACGGCTAATAGTTTGGTTCCTAATTTAGGGATTTTCCAAAATCTCCCAGTTGATTGAATTAGGTACCTAAACATTTCTAATTTGATGCTCAGATTTGTAAATCATTTTTGTTTTGATATTCAAAGCGTAAACACTCGTTGTGCGTAACAAAAAGGAAGATTGTGATTTTATAATGCCTAAAACAACCAGTGCTTCAACTTGGATTAAACCTTATAAAGAGCTGTCTATGGATATGGGAAAAATCTACTGTTCAGTCTGTGGCAAAATTGTAAGTATCTAATATTTTCTATTAAATATCTAATATTTCATACATACAGGGTGTTTCCAAATGACACTTACAACGTTTGACTGTAGATACTTCTCGAAAAATTTAACAAAACGATATAGTTAATGAGGGGTCAAACTTATTTACTTTTCGAGATACAGGGTGTTAAAATTAAAAAAAAAATAAATTCTTTTAGTTAATAACAACAATAACTTTAAAACCTATAAACGTATTTACTTGAAATTTAGTACTCGTAGGTTGTTTTTAAATGAAAAATAGCTTCTTTTAGTAAGAAAAAATTGTCCATGGTACAATACAATGGTGTGTATTTAGAAAAATTTTTCACCTTTACTTTTTTTATGAAGTCAGCTATTCTAAAACACAATTATTTTTATTGTAATTGAATTAACAAAAAAAAAACTTTTGTTGAATTTTAAAATAATTTATATGATGTACTAATGGTTAGTAACAAAAACTACTTTGTGGATTAATACTGCATTTAAAACACTTAGCGAGTGTTTTTTTTCCAAACCAGTTATTTGATTAACCAAAAACACCTTGTAAATTTTTATATTTTAAAGGTTGGGTTAAAATAAAGGTTTTATTTTTATTTATAGATAGCATGTGAGAAGAAATTTCAGATAGACCAACATGTGAGAATTGCTTCACACATTGCAAAAAAAAGGAAAAATAGGAGGAAAACATCAAACTTCAATGGCTAAATGTTTTCAATCTACTTCAAAAAAATTAGATGAGCAAGAAACTTTTAATGAAGACTTGTGTCGCGCATTAGTGTCTGCAAACATACCGCTTTCAAAATTAGCAAATGTAAATTTTATTTCGTTTCTAAAAAAAATATTGCATACTTAATGTTCCAAGTGATCGGTCTCTAAGAAGAAATAATGTGAACGGGCTATACTCGTCGGTGTTAATTAATATTAAGAAAGAAATTGCAGATAATTATTTTTACATATCTGTAGACGAAACCACTGATTCCTCAGGAAAGTATATTGCTCATTTATTGATTGGTGTTCTTAAAGAAGATACCTTACCAAAATCTCATCTTATTTCATGCCAGCAACTTGAGAAAACAAATGCTTTAACAATTTCGCGTTTTATACAAGAAACATTAGCAACTTTTTTTCTTCCGACAACTATTCCTTCTAATAAATTACTGCTTATTTTATCGGATGCTGCTCCTTATATGGTGAAAGCAGGACAAAATTTAAAAATATTTTTCCCAGATTTAATACATGTTACTTGTGTAGCGCATGGATTAAACAGAGTTGCAGAGGAAATACGAAAAAAGTTTCCTGTTGTAAATACCATAATATCCAGTGTCAAAAAAGTATTTCTTAAATCTCCTATAAGAATTCAACTTTATAAAGAAATGCTACCTAACATTCCTCTTCCACCACAACCTATTTTAACGCGATGGGGAACATGGTTAGAAGCAGCTAATTTTTATGCAGATCATTTTGTTAAAATAAAGAACATAATTGATACGTTAACAGATGAAAGTTCCCAATCTCTTTTGGATTCTAAACAAACCTTTCAGAGTAACTTGCTTCAACAAGAACTTTCATTTATAAAATCAAATTTTAGTTTTGTTCAAAAAACAATTACTCAGTTAGAATCACCAAAACTGTCATTGTTCGAAAGTACAGCATTAATAAAAGAATTTGCGTCATGTTGTCGGAACGTTAGAGGTAATATTGGAAAAGATATTTTAAAAAAATTTGAAGCTACTATGGAAAAAAATAAAGGTTACCATATTCTTTCTGAAGTAGTCAATTGATGTTGAACGAAGTTTTTCCATATATAAATATATGTACTCAGACAGAAGCCACAAGTTTTTGTTAGAAAATTTTGAACACCTCTTGGTCATTTATTGTTACCATAATTCTAAATAAGTTTATTCATACTTAAAAATGATGTAGTTACTTAAAATAAATGTAAATCTTAATAATTAGTAGGAAATATTTAGTTATGTACACTTTTTTTTAAATAAAATTGTTACTATTTTACGATTTTTTTATTTATTTGTATGCATATTTTGTAAAATATTTGCATATTTTCGGGTAAACACGTGCATATTTATGCGCATATTTTCTACATTTTTATTTGCATATTTGCCAAAGTCTAATTATTACCCTTTTCCCTAGATCAATATTGCTTTGCGATGATGCAAGTAGGCCTGCTTAGCTCTCTAGTTTAAAACAATCGCTAATCCAAAACGGTTACGGCAAAAATCACATCAATAGAAGCATCCACAGACATCAATCACCCACTCAGTCGCAACCCGGAGACTCAGTCTCTTATCATACGAAAGCTTTTCTTCCTTGCATCAAAGGTGTCACTGACAAAATCGACAAAATTTTTGATTCAAGAAGAATTAAGATACTATTTACCCCCCAACAAAACACACTTCTAATGTTATCTTTATAAATACGTTTTTTGTGTTATTTTAGGTACTTTTGACCAAAGCTACATTCCACATGCCATAGCTTACAGCGCCTGCTTGGGCGAACACAGGTTGCGCTGCCAAGGCCTCGACAACTATACCGGCGCTCCATTGCCGCCGCACGGCGGAAGCTGCACTCCACAAGAGCCAGCCAACGTTGCTCACGCGGGACAGCCGATTGTGATAGCCAGCAGCGTCATGTCTGATGATGGACAAATGAGGGTAAAGTCGTCGAGTAGAGGCGGCCAAATATACGTAATTCGTTTTATGACTTTTTTCTTAGCGGTAGTTTTAAGGGGAACGTAGAGATGGATAACTGGATAAGTGATAGTGCGATACGAATTTATTTTTAAAGACCGTGTATTTTGGGTATACAAATGTTTGTTTAAGATTTAAATGTACAAAATGAAATTTATTATTAATATTAGTGCACAAATTGTATCTCTTAAAATAACGATATGGATAAATATTAAGTTTATATACAAACACATGCATAGACAATATATCAATAATTTTATTCAACATTTGTTAGCGTAGGTCATTCAGTTTTAATAAATAGTAATGTGTCAGCAACTATCCAAGATAATTTTAGTTTAAAATTTCATTGTTAATAAAACAAGAAAGATGCTGATGGACATTTCAGTATGATCGATCAAAATCAATGATAATAATACCTAGAAATGCATTTAAAGCCATGAAAAATCTACCCGAAACATCCCATAGAGAAAATTATCAAATTGAAACTTCAGACAGCCCAAGAAAAACTCAGAGCAGTAAGCTTTTTGTGGACACCTTCCCAACTTGGTATCGAAGGCAATCAGACAGCAGTAAGCGCTCACAATGTTGTCGATAACGACGAATGGGAGGTCAAATATTGAAGTGTGGCAAGTGATTTAAATGCCTTTCTCAAAAATAAAATGCAAGTGCGTGCAACAGGGAGTGCAAATTTCGGTTTCGAAACTAAAACAGATTATAAGCAGCATTTCACTGTGGCAACTAACAGCATTAAGCAAAAGATCTGAAGTAATCCTAAAACTTCTCAGACTCGGCTATAGATGATAGACACACGCACACGCACACAAGCCCCAAAGTGCTGAATTTGTAAAGCAATAGACAGTACAAACCATTTATTGTAAAATTTGCCTATTTTTAAGATTTTCTTATGGCAAGAGAAGGCAGCAAACATTGCAATGGGCATGTTCTACACAATGTAGCCCTCTATCAGTTTGCCGGTGGTCGTCTCAGTCGCTTTTAAAACATTGACGTGTGTATACACTTTAAATTTCAGTAAGTGAATATTTTATAAATGTATATTTATATATATATATATCATTAATATTTTATAAATGTATATATCATTAAAACGGCCCAGATAATTGAATTATTACGAGAGGGCTATAGTCAAAAGACTGTCGTCGGTCGCCAACTTATGACGTAGTCTGCAGTTTCAAGGGCTTGTCGTCGATACCAGGACACCGGTAGCTACATTGACAACTAGGTTCGGATCGGCGACGTGTAACGACAGAGAGGGATGATCGATTTATTGTCCTGAGTGCCTTTCGGAATCAGCACGCGACATGAGTTGAGCTTTATCAATCCTTGAAAAAAGTACGAGGTGTCACTGTCACTCAGTGGATAGTTGAGGGAAGACTTGAATCCCAGACAAGCCAACACAGGAATCAAATTGAAGGCAAATAGAAAAGGCTTAAATTCAGTTTGTCCGAAAACATGTCAATTGGGACCTTGGCCAATGGAGCAGAATTTTATTATCTGATGAGGGTCAAATGAGCTTATATAACAATTACAAACGACAACGTGTTTATCGGAGGCCCGGTATTTGCTCGATTTGCTCAGTGCTGCAGTATGAAAACAGTAAGCTATGGAGGTGTTGCGTGTATATTTATGGGTATTATATGTTTATAAGGAAAAGGGGATTGACAGCGGATCGTTACGGAGATTCTGCAAGACCATGTTATTCCTTCGGCTTCATGCTAATGCATGATAACGCTCGAACAATTGACTGACCTCCATTGAGTCCAGATATAAATCTTATCGAGCTCCTATGGGATGAACTTAAACGCAGGGTTTGAGTCCATAATCCGGCACCAGCGACAGTAGTAGAAATAAAAACTTTATTAAATGAAGAGTGGGAGTGGTTAAATATACTATATTGTCGCTAATATCCTTCAGAATAATGCGACTTTTTTGTTTAAATAAAAAAAATGTATTTTTATTACACATTCAATAACAAGGATCAAAATTGAAATTTACTAAAAGTACATAAATTTTCGTCCAAAGTTTCAAAGCCTTTGCAGTTGTTTGTATAAATACTTAATATTTAGAAGAAGATGTATATATATTTTAACAATGATACTCTTATATGATCTAATGTAAAAAATGTATAGTGTATATAAACTCAAAATTGTCATACTGACCAAACACTGTCCTTAATTTACCACTAAAAACAGGGTTGAATAAAATTGGTTAAATATTAGTTTTAGTTTCGTTAATAGTTCAGAAAAATAAGTAATATTTGCAGGTTTTTATATGACTGTTTACTCTAAGTTGGTTTGTTGTAAATTTGTTTTAACCTTTTCGATCCCAGATGACATTAGAATTTGTCGACCACTCTGACTAGCTTTTAGCGATTATTTCCCAGCGGTACATGTAAGTCTTGCCTTAAAAATATGATTTCATTGGTTACAGTTACTGTCATATAGTAACTCTGTAAAAGAGTCAAAAAGAAAACAAAGTTGACAAACTTGAAAAGACTGGTGAGCACTGGAATAAATATAGTCCCAGTGATAGACAATCCATGAGATATAAAAGATAGAGTCCTAGAGTTATAAACAATCATCCAGCAAGTACTTAGAAACAACATTGCTGAAGAGGAAGTAGAGATACACACGGAAATATTTAAAGACATACCACAAGAAATAAAAGATTTGATACGAACAAACAGACGAAACAGAGATGTCAAAACAGTACTACAACAATACCGTAATAAAAGCTGGAAAAATCACATTCGAGACATGGAAGAACACGGAACAAAAATGCAAAATAATTGGAGGCTTCAAACAATACTTAAAAAGGATAGAAAACCAATCTTTCCGCTATACAGAAAGGATGGAATAGTATACACCACTAAGGAAAAAGCAGGGGTAATAAGGAATACTATCGAGAAGAAGTGTACATTAAGTTACCACTCATCAAAAATTTGATTTGATCTATGTTGAAGTCTATATAAAGTGGAGAAACTCCCCCCAAAATCCCTAAAAAAACAATTTTTTTGATTTTTGAAGATCACACACTCTACAGAAAAATCTGAAAAATAAGAGATATAGTTTTTGATCGAATATACAAAAATTGGACCTGCAGCCATTTTCAAAAAAAGTAACAAGCTTTAAAAAAATGCATTTTTAGGTGATGTACACTAAACTTACGTGTCTATAAAAAAAGTCATGTTTTATAAAAGACAGCTCTGCATCATCATAATCATCATCACCATTTGGCTCTACAACTCTATGTTGTATTGTCTATATCTATGTCTATTGTCTGTCCTGAACAGCTATTTTTCATTGTTGTATTCCCATTTTGCGTAAATCACTGGCTACTGCGTCCTTCCATCTCTTTCTTGGGCGACCAACTGACCTTCTGCCTTGGAGCCTTTCTCAGAATGTGGCGTTCAGGAGTCTTTTGTCACTCGATCTTAGTACGTGGCACACCCATCTCATTCGATTTGCTTTAATGTAGCGTACTATGTTTGCATCTCCATATACTGTCTGGAGTTCATCATTGTGTCCTTTTCTCCATTCTCCTGTTGTCTCTTCTCTCCAAGGCCCATAGATAGTCGGCAGTATCTTTCTTTCTAGTACCAGTAATTTTGTCGTTTCCCGCTGGTCCAAAGTCCATGTCTCGCTTCCATACGTTATTGTGGGAATTTTTGATTTAAGTATGGTCATTAATGAGTAATATGCCATGTTTCCTGCAATGATCCTGGCTGCCACGTCCTTTTCATATTTATTTTCAAATGTTATGATCGCTCCCAGGTACTTGAATTCTTTGACAACTTTAAAGTTGTATTCATTGATTGTTACGTTTTGTCTAACCCTTGGCCTTGGGTTCTTCGTAATACCATATACTTGGTCTTGGTCTCGTTGACCTTCAAACCAACTTCCTTGGCTCCGTTTTCAAATAGAATGAAAACTTCTTTTATAGCTTTGGTGGATTGTGCAATTGTGTAAACGTCATATAGTATTTCTGATCATTGGGCTGCAAATCCGTTTGACAGTTAAGGTTAAGCTTTTCTTGCCGCATGTGCAAAATTAAATAGCAGGGGGGCGAGAGGATCTCCTTATCTAAGCCCGGTTTTAATGAGTTCCTCCAACGTGGTGCTGTCAATTCTGATCCGTGCGGAAGCATTCTCTTTGCTTACCGGTACTAATCGTACCAGCTATCTAGGTACTCCCATTTATACCATAGTCTTTCACAACGCTTCTCTGCTAACAGAATCGTAAGCCTGTTTAAAGTCCACGAAGATTTGATGTACATCACGGTTGAATTCCCAGTTTTTTTTTCCAACGCCTGCCGTAGGAAGAATATCTGGTCTATGGTCGACCTTCCCTGACCTTTTTTAGTAGTTCCGCCTCTATGCCGTCTGTCCTGGGGCTTTAAGGCTTTTTAGGGAGGAAATTTTGGGCCTTACTTCATCTAGTGTAAAAGACAGCATTGCGTCTGAATTTTTTGAAATTTTTAAATTGAATGCATCCTACCTAAAAAAATAAACTTTTAAAAAATTGGCATCTTTGCTGCTAGGGTGGAGAGGTAGCGGGCTAAAATTGCGCTGAGCCTTATTTTGTATTCACATTGAACTCAAAAAAATTAAAAGAAATAAATTTTGGAAGTAAAGGCATGTTGCCCTTAAACGTTATTTTCTATAAAACATTTAATGACATGTCTCTACATGCCTTTAATAAAATATAAATTTATTTTATAATTTGTTTGTTTCAGAAAAGATATTTGAACAAAATGTATTTAAGTGTAATATTTAAGTCGAAAATATTAATTTTTTTAAAACCCGTTTTTATTTAAATTAACAATTTTATCAACCCTGTTAAGCAAATTACTTTATTGATACCGACTGTTATTATTAGTGGACAAAAGTATATAAGCACTTCTACCATTATTTATTACTGTTATAAAAGACTTTTAACATTTTGTAAAAACTTTTGTTAGGTAAGTTTGTGAATTTTTAATAGACGAAATGATATAAACTCTGTATAACGAATTTTTAAATCAAAAAAATG